ACTGTCAATACAGTTGCCACAGGGATGCTAGGGTAGAACATGTCACTTTTGTTTTTCCTCTTGCTTAAAGGAAAGAAATTATCACTTAGACCACAAAGCCTTTTGGTTGCTTCCTTCCACTTGCACCCTTGCTCTAAATGCTTTTCCCTCACTGCCAGGATATCTGTATTTGCTTTGCCTTCTGCCTGGAATGTCCTTCACCAACTGTGCACAGGGCTTGCTCAAATGTAAGTGCTACAAGGGCAAGTTCATTCTTGGATATGTACACTTCTTGGTCAAGTAAAAAGTATATATATTTTAAAAGCACTATACATCATAAATGTTAAGTCTGATTAATTTGCATAAAGTGAACACACCCATAAAACTACCACTTAGGTCAAGAAACATTGCTTCCTCCTAATTTAGTTCTCCAAAGAGTTCTCCACCACTATTCTGACTTTCAAACCTAAGGTTAATTCTGCCTATTTCTGAACTTTTTACAAATGAATCCATACTGCTTTAGTATTATGAAATTAATGTAGTAGTGGTTCACTCCTTTTCATGGTTGAGTACCATTCCAGATATACCAGTTATTTAATCACTTCCCTCGATGGACATTTAAATTATTTCTAGTCAAAGATATTATGAATGATAAGGATATTCCTGAACATGTCTCTTGGTCTACATATGTATATATTTCTATTGGGTACATTAAGAATTTTATACAGTAATTTCAGTAATGTCTCTCCTAACCCTCGCACAGTAGCTGCCACATTACAGGCATTACAAAAAGTATTTGACACTATTTCACAGCTCTGATATTTAGATTGTTTAATTCCTTGAATTATACATGTAGGTTTTTAATTCATAAAATTAAATTGATTCTTGTCCATCCACTATGTAAATTAAAAAACACATTATTATCATCGGGGGTTTAGCTCAGTGGCACATGCGTTTGCTTGGCAAGTGCAAGGTAGTGACTTTGATCCTTGGTACCAAAAAAAAACAAAAACAAAAAAACCCATACCATCAAAATACACTAGTATCTAGGTGTGGTGGCACACATCAGTAATCCCAGCATTTGGGAGGCTGACAGGAGGATCACTCTGAGTTCGAGGTCAGTCTATATTACATAGTGAGTTCAAGGCCTGCCTGAACTATATATTGAGACCCTGTTTCAAACAACAACTACAAAAATAAATGAAATCATGGGTTGAATGGTATAAATATGTTTGAGTTTATAAGAACACCAGAAGTTTTCCGAAGCGGCTGTAACAATTTACATTCCTACCAGCAATAGATAGAGGTTCTGCTGCTGTGCAGCCTTGAAAATCCTTGTTATGGCTAGACTTAGGATTTTTTTGAAAATTGCAGAAATATAAAAATGTTGTTTTGCTGCATTTTTTTTACTTTTCTCTTTTGAAACAGAAATTGAACACTGACTTCACACTTGCCAGGGAGGTACTGTGCCACTAGCCTATATTCTCGGCCCCCTTGCTGTGGTTTTTAAGTCATGCTACAGTAAGACAGGATCTTTTCATACAACTAACTATTCAAATATCTTATATTTCAGCATGATTTATACTTTAAGCAATGTCTTTCTCTTTTAAAAATGGTTGACCTGTCAGGTCTGAAACAGAAAATTTCTTTACCTCTAACCAACTTAAACAAAATGCCATCAGGTTATAAGGATAGCAGCTGCTACCTCTAATATTAAAAATAATAACATTTCATCTATTTCAGAGGTCGAGGGGGAGAGAATTATAGAGAAATTAATTTTTTACACAGAAGTAGGAAAATAAAAGCTTTCCTCCTGGAGTTAACAATCAACAATTTAAACTCATACATAAATTAACTGTTGAAATTCTATTTTGAAAAGCTGATCTAGAAGGAACAAGGTGAGAGATTTCAATTTTTAGGTAAACATATTTAACTCAATACTGTTTAGACTTTTCTTCCAGCCACTATTAAAAATTTCAAACCTATAAGATATCAAGTGAAACACCCAGGTTCAATAGTAGACACCTGTAATCGTGGCAACTTGGGAGGCTGAGGCAGGAAAATTACTTGAGCCCATGAGTTTCAAAACATTGTGGGCAATATAGTTAGACCTGATCTCAAAATAATTAAAAAACAAAACAAAAAACAAATAAAAAAAAACCCTACAAACTAACAAGAAAAACAATACAAAATCTCAATGTGAAATACAGTAATTATTACTCCTTAGTTCTTATTACTTTTTTGGGTGGGAGAGAATAAAGTCAAATATGGCAAAACAAAGCTGTCAGTCAAAACCAAGGACAGACATAGCACATGATGTAGAACAGAGTACAAGGTTATCAACAATGGTTATCAACGTTGTCTCTTGTTTCCTTAAAAAGAATTGTCTATCTCATTAGATATTATAAAAAAAGAGCTCTAACGGATATAACAGTAAGTGTGTTTAGGGTTTAGGTTTTTAATTCATAAAATTAAGTGTGTTTAGGGGTGTTAAATAGCTGACTATATTAATGTTTTTGGATCATTGAACACAGCTGTTTGCAGTCTCTCTGTTTGAATGTCCACTTTGTATTCTTTGATACTGTGATTTGAGCAACTATTTCGAAGATGATAATATGTAATATATTAACAGGTGATTTCTTACTGTTATGTTTTTTTTTTGTAGTTCTGTATTACATGTACCCTTACACCGCTTTGTTTTGTTTTGTGTTTTTCTCTTTTTCCTCTTAAATAAAATTTTTTAAAAATACAGTAATTAATTTCTTTAAAAAACTTAGTAAGTAGGTTCCTAGCATATTTTAAAAGTGAAAATCCTGTAACTTGAGATAGCCAGGAGGAAAACTTTTATCACTTATTCTACAAGTGTATACTAAGTATACTCAAAGTGCTTCATTCTATAGTTAATGAAAAATGCAAAGTATAGTGTTTTTTAAAAAATAATTGATATTATTCTCCAATGGTATCTATATTGCAGTAATATAAGAAACAAAAAGAATGGAAGCAGAAAAACACCTCAATCTGGATCCACAACATTCAAAATCTAAATCACAGGGCAGTATAAGCCCTGTAAAACACTGGAAAAGCAGATGTGGCCTTATCCGCTGGTGTTCAGCATAAGCCTTATCCTTCCACAATGCCTGGGGAAAATTCATGCTCCAGACAAACTCAAATGAAATGAATGTACTTCTGACTTGGTCTTCTCTGTCTAACTCCAGATATTTCAAGTATTTCAAGTATAACTCAGTATTTCCTTTTTTTAATCGGTACCAGGGATTGAACTCATGACTGCCTGCTTGCAAGGCAGGCGCTTATGCCGCTGAGCTAAACCTCCAGCCCCTAACTCAGTATTTCAAGATGCAACCGAGACAGCAAGGTTTTCTATAGTGTATGTCTTTGTAAGCTGGTAATCCAAATCAATTCTATCTGTCCCCCTTCAACTGCTCAGGAGGAATCAAGATGTATCACTATTGTATAATTGAATGACAATAAACCTTAAGTGAAATTTTAATTATATATAAAATCAAAGCTTGCTCTGGAGGTCTTATGAAAAACAATGCAAAATATAAGGGCTGAAAATAATCTTAAACCAAATCCTGACCAGGCGTGTTGGCACATGCCTGTAATTCCAGCACTTGGAAGGCTGAGGCAGAAGGACTGTTGTGAGTTCAAGAACAGCGTGAGCTACAAAGTGAGTTCAAGGCTTGCCTAAACTGCATAGTGAGACCCTGTCCCAGAAAGATAAAAAAACCAAAAAATAGAACAAAACAAAACAAAACAAAAAACCAGTCCTTTTTCCCTTTACATGACAATGACTTAAAATAGCATATAAGATCCTTACTAGAATTGGAAGGGAACCTGTAGTATCCAAACTTTTGATGCATGGGAGGAGTATTTATTTGGAAATTGCTCTTACAATTTGGATCATGTGACTTCTAGGGAACACTGAAAATCTACCTGTCAGCATCTCCTTAACTTCTACTGTAAGAACTGGTTAATTAACTATCACTTTTACATGCTATAAATTAATGTTGAAATATCAATCTGTAAAGAAAAGTAAAAGAATTTGAATAAAACTATTTTAGAGGTAATGTCTCTGATACATACTCTCTCAGTATCTGTGAGGGGATTATGGCCTCCACCTAACCCTGGCCATCCTCACATAAACGATACCAAAATTGGAGGAGGCTGAAAATTTTTCAAATAAAATGATATAGTATTTGCATTAACCTATCTATACCTTCCTGTATATTTACATCATCTCTACTTTAATTATAATACTTAATACAATGTAAATGCTACATAATAATTGGCACTCACTGTTTCTGAACAAGAAGAAAAAACTCCATATAAACTGAAGGCAGGCAAGTTTTTCAATGGATAGGGAGGACTGACTGTACTTATACTTTAAGGAGGGTCAGTTGTTTGAATACTTACTGAAGGATCTTTAATCCTCAATACAAATAGCAATTTATCTGACAAAAGCTAAGTATATTGTTGTTATTAGAAGATCTAAGTGAAGTTCAGAGAGCCACAAAGAGTACAAATGGACAATAAAAAATTAACAACTCTGATTGGCATGAATGAGAGTAAGGAAGGAAGCAAAAAAACTCTTGGGATCTAAACATTATAGCATGATTACCAGAGGGGGTTGGTGAATTCCTCAAAGCTTTCACTAAATATTAAACTTCCTTTAGGCAACAAGTACATTTATCTCTCCAGTGGCAGAATCTTAGGTTGGTCCCCTGAGTCAGGTAAACCAGGACTGCAGTCTATTTGAAGAGTACATGTTTATGCCTTCTCCATAGAAGATTTATACTATGGGCTGAATAGAAGGAAAAACCTTGATTCTTTGCTATTTAAATTAAGCTTTAAAATCCTGCATAAAAATGCAAAAATAGCCAGATTTTATTTGTATCTTCTTTGATGATGAAGCATTTGGATATGATACTGGATAAGGAGGGCGTGAGGCAGGTTTCCTGTATCAGAGGGGAGTAGGACAGACCCACAAGGTCCTCTCTCACCTGGGACACTGTGATGCTGCATTTCTTGGCCAGCTCCTCTTTGGCTTCTTCACTGGGGTAGGGGTTGCTGAGGTGTGAGTAAAAATATTCATTCAAGATTTCTGTGGCCTGTTTACTGAAGTTACGTCTTTTCCGTCTATGACAAGAGTGAGAAAAAAGAACTGCAGTTACATTTAGTATAAACAAAAAAAAAAAAAAAAAAGAAGAAGAAGAAGAATAGATTAATTAGGATAATAAAAAGTAGGTGTCAACTTTTAAACATTGTTAGGGTCTACTTTATCACTATGACATGTAAATTATGCTCTGGGCATCCTCCAAAGCACAAACATACTAAAAAGAGCAGTAATTAGCATTTTTGCAGGAATAATGTGTGGCTTAAAAAGACAAGGATCTGTAGGAGGTGGGAGCACATGGAAGAACAAACTCTTGTAGAGGTAGTGGGAGACAGGCTGGGAAAGGTCTAGAATAGATGCTCAATGGATCAAACCTCCAGGTATTTCCTGCCCAGCAGAGATGATGTGTTAAGCCTACACAATAACGACGTGCTCAGAAAAACCTAAGTTTCTGCATCTTATGAAAAATTGGAAGATCAGCCATACCAGGGCCACACTGGCAGAAGGCAGCTGTGGACACTAAAATCTGAGCGATGGCTGTCCCCTTTAGATTTTCACTTGTCCACTCTAACCCTAACTACATATCACTTTGGCCACTCAGTTCCATTAGATGTAAGTATGTGAGTTTGTGACTCTGTATCCACAATCTATATCCATCAACAAGGAAAGGTAGATGGGGACAGATGATACAGGGTACTATTTGGGAAGTATGGATGTGTGGAAAGGGGGAATGAGAAGAAACCTACCGAAAAAAGCAAAGAATTGTGGCTCACATATATTTTGCTTAGGGTAGCTTTCAGCAAACATCAAAAACCTCAGAAAACAAATTTATAGGCAGAACAGAAGACCACACCAGATAATCTGGCTGAGTCCAAATTAAAGCACCTTTACTGGAAGACGGAAGGATCTACAAAAATTTATTCTTCAATGTTTTGCTCTGGTACATGTTTTGGCTTGTCCAATTATTAAGAAAACATGAGTGTAGCCTTCCAGAAAGGCAACTTGAGCAAGGGAGTCACATTATCAGAGAATCATGTTTGCCTAAAGCAGAACAACCTTGTCTTCTCATTGCAAACGGCTCGCTAAGAAGCACAACAAAAATACATGGAACTGCAGCTTGGCTATTTGCATTCACTTTAAGTCATAGGAAAGAATACGGGCTTATACTTTATTTATTTTTCAGAAAAACATCCTGTAGGAAATGCCCATTAAGAGCTGTTCCTCAGTTTCACTCCCCCCAGGGTTCACCATACTCTAAATGGCTGTGCCTCAGGCCAGTGTGTAGTGGTGCATCAGTCCCAGGGCCAGGTCCCATCAGCATCACGATGTTGCTAACAGCAGTCTCTGTGGGAGAAGAGACTGTGCTCCAAACTGCCACACTCTCATTCTAGCTCTGCTCACTCTAGGCCCTTAACATACTTTTTCTTCATGGGAAAAAAAAATAAATCATTTAGGTGCATACATTATGAATACTGTTACATAAAAAACAAGCATGCAATGATGACAAGAGTAGGAAAGCATCAGCAGAAATAAGAATAGTGACTGTGTTAGGAAGGATTCCTTCCTTTCAAATGTACCTTTTAATATCTTTGTTACATAATGTTTTTTATTAAAATGCTAAAACTTGACAATTTAGAAAATGTTTTTTTTTTTCCCTCATGCTACCTCCTTAACTCTAATTTCAGCTGTCAGACTGTAAGTGGAAATATATACTTATCTGGTCAGTAAGATACTTTCTGTAGCTAGTATATATACGGTATTTGCCATACTCAAGGGGAATGCAAATATATCTTTGCTTTCAATGGCTTTCAGATTATCTGGGGAAAGTATTTTCCAGTTTCTGGAGTATCTATAAGGGAGAAAAGATGTTCATGGGAAACTGCAAGAAAAAGAAATAAAAACTTCTAATTCCAATCTCAAAGTTCTATTTCAGAGATAATTCTAAAGGTCAAAATGATCAATGTATATAAAGATTTTCATTCAAAGACTAGTTTCAATGAAAATATGCCTAAAAGCATGCCTTCTGCCAATCATTTTCTTTCTCTTTACCTTTGTTTTTCTTCATGGCACTTAGCACACTATTATGTTTCATTATACTGTTGAATACAATAGTATATGTATTTATTTGCTTCTTGTCTATCTCCTCAAATTGAAAGTGTAAGCTCAATGGGGCAAGTATATTAACCTGCCCTGTTTGTCACTTTATCCTCAGGAGGATTAAGTGTCTGTGGAAGGACAGCAAAAAGAAAGGATGCAAATAAGCAATTACAATGAAAATTAACAAATGGTAAAAAAATAAACTGATGGGGGGTGGGGATTTAGCTCAGCGGCATAAATACCTGCTTTGCAAGCAGGCAGTCGTGAGTTCGATCCCCGGCACCAGAAAAAAAATAAATAAATAAAAAATAAACTGATGATAAGTAAATTTATTACATATCCATCTGGTAAACTTCAACTATTAAAATGTTACTTAAAATTAAGAGTGTATACTAAAGACTACGTATTCATGACAAATTTTTTAAAAGAACACTAAATTATGCGTGAAAAACGTTTTAGAAAACCTACAGAACAAAAATCCAGAAGGAAATATACCAAAATATGTATAGTGATTTTAAGTCACAAATATGTAGTGGCCTTTATCCCTCTTCTATTCAATGTATTTTCTATTATGTGCTTGATATTTTTTTAAGTAGAAAAAAATAATGAAATTTAAAATCTCCACAACAACAACAAAGTATTTAAAGCAGGGGCAGGCTGAGGAGGGCCTTAAATACCAGGATACAAGGAGTATGTAAGGAATATCCAGCAATGACAAGCTCTGTGGTCTTATTTTGTTTGTTTGGTTGATCTGATGCTGCAGACTGAACCCAGGTCTTGCACCGCTAAGCACATGTGGTACCAGTGAGCTACACCTCAGCTCCAACAAGCTGCCATAGCTTTTAAAAGCATTAAGGCACTAGAGAAACATCACAGAGAAGGCATGTGGAGGTTGCACTAGAGGACAATGAGCCTGGGGACAAGGAAACTAAAAGGAGGGTGCTATGCTGGTCTAAGTACAGAAGATGAACAGGAATTATACGAGGAAAGAGGAAAAGAGGGTGGTAAGAGAAATACTGAAATGAAGCACTAATGAGTTCTAGAGACTAAGTTAGCAGGAAGAAGCAGCAGCCAAAGATGATGAGGATTTTTGCTTGCCTAGTAAAAATGGTATATGATTAGGTGGCAAATGTGTCCTATTTGGCTGAAGAAAGAATACTGGCATTAAGAGTGTTCTACTTTGTTTTCTAGTAGAAAAGTTATCTTATTTTCTTTAATATTGAGAGATTTGGATGAAAAAATTCCTTCTGTCATGTTTGAAGAAGAAAGAAACAGAAGAGACTCCTTTTCAAAACTAATGACTGATCAGCCTTAGCAATACCAAGAAGCATTCCTATAGTTCTAGTCTATATTAAGACTTTGATAAGTCTTCTGTGTTACTCAGTAGATCACCATACACAATTGTTACCATAAACAATGCATTACATTACTCCTGTGAAACTTGGTGAAAACATGGAAATGTCCACCCCTATGTAACAAACTGTTAGGCTTTCTTACTTGATCTTACAGAGCTTAGGGCTTTGTGATAACTGCTATTCATAAAAAACTCATTTGTTCTAGTGGCTATCAGTATCTCCAGGTATTTCATATACTCAACACAAGCAATGTAAACATCAAAAAATTCTTAGAAAACAATCTTTGTTAAAAATTTCATGGAGAAAACTATATTTCCCTTGGGAGCAGCACTAATCCTATCGCTTGCTTACTACACTGCCACTCCCAGACAAGAGGCTTGACAGTACCGACACCGTGAGGAGGATCATCTGTCTGTTGTAGAGAAGAGTTCTACTAGAAAAGGAGTGAGCCATGCAATAGATGTATGGTCTCACATACCTGGCATCAAGGAACCTTGATCTTAAAATCATAACTGCTTCACAAGTGCTTTGTTTCAGCTGCATCTGAATGGAACTAAATTTTCGATGGATGATGCCCACCATTCTTTCGATCTCTTTTGGGGAAATGGGACGTGTTCTACTCTGTTCTCGGAGAAGGTTCATCACGTGTGTAGTGAATTCATTACATGCCTGTAATAGAAAAAAAAAGCACTCCTTAGGAAATTGGTATTTTACATTATCACACTCAGACATTACAGTAACTCATCTGAATTTCTGCCTCATTTGCAATTGCCAGTGGCATTATGAAGTGGGTAGAGAAAACTGAAAACAAAGATACTTATGAAATACTGATGGTACAATTAGATGGGGAGCAAAAACTACGAATGGTCAAATATGCAAGGGAGACATAACAACTGCCCTTCTCACCCCCTCTTATGCCAGCTTCTATATATAGATGTATTAACATTTCTTTTTTGGGGGCTTGACACTTAGTCAAAAAATATTTACTGCAGGATTAAAAGTCCAAACCCTTTCAAGTATTATAAGAGACACAGACATGAGCAAGATACAGAACTGATATTCAGTAAGATAAAACATAAAAAACTAATTGTCATACAAGATAGTCAGTGCAGTCTAACAGGAAAATAGTGGAAGTCCTTCACAAGTTCCAAGAAGGGAGCATTTTTAGCTGGGGGTTTCAAAATGGAAGTGATATTTGGGCCTTAAAGAATGAACAGGATTTCTGAAAGGCCAACAAAGGTAGAAGCCAGAAGAAACTCTAGGCACAAGAAAAACCCTAGGAACAATGGTATTAAAAGCAAGTTCAGAAAATGACTACTAGAATAGAAAAAATAGAGAAAAATAGGGGATTCAGTTTTTCTGGTTTGGTGCAGGGGTTGAACCTGGGGCTTCACACATGCTAAGCATAAGTCCTACCACTGAGCTCCCTGGGCCTTAGGGAGAGATTCAGGTTTGAATTAGCATATATCATAGTGCCTTATATGTCAAATGTTCCACCTGACCTAGAGTAATTTAGCTGTAGTGCATAAATGTCATTCCTGTAAAGCAACTCAGTTCTTCAGAGCAGGAGCAACATGAACATAAGAATCAGACTTTTTACTAACAATCCTCGATCACTGTCTCTTTCAGTTCACCTATGTTTTTTTAGTTCTAAAAAACCATGGTGCCTGTCCTACACAGAAATTCAGTACTTCCTTGGTAAATAAAGCATCAGTCTATATTCCTGAATAAAAAGAACCTCTGGTATTTTCAGTAAAAGATAGGATGGAAGCTTCTGCCTCTTACTTCACAGATGCCCCTGGTAGGATAAGCAGACAGAAAAGATCATTGATCATGGCAAGACATATTTTGGAGCTATAAATGTCCACTTTCCTATGAAGAGTCTGAACACTGCTCCTATGTAGCACATGATAGTTTTTCTAAATGCTCATTAGAGAACTAACCTTTCAAGTACACTAAGTATTTCGTTTACTGTTATCCTTTTATAGGACTTTCCTACAAATATTTCTAAGATGAAGTAAAATGAGTCTTGCGTACCAGTTATTTAAATTTTTAGGGGCTGGGGATTTAGCTCAGCGGCATAAGCACCTGCCTTGCAAGCAGGTGGTTGTGAGTTCGATCCTTGGTACTGATAAAAATGAAAAAGACAAAAAAAAATTTTTTTTCTTAAATATTTTTATCATAAAATATTGTAAATTCCTTGTGAGTAGCAACCCTATGTTATATTTATGGGACTCCTCAGAGTATAGAATAGGATAACACACACAATAGGTACCTGATAAAGATCTATAAACTGGTGAACTTTTATACTACAGTTCAAGCGAGAGGATAAAGTTGGCTTACTGGTAAATTCATTATCCTTAAACTACTATGTGAAGGGTTCTTAAGCTGCAAGTTCATGGATAGGTTTAGGATGCCTGTGACCATCTGAAATCTTATGCAAGTTGGCTGCACATGTGTATTTCTAAGGGATGAGTCTAGGTTTCTGCTTGCCTCTCAGTCTTATAGTTTAAAAAGGTTAACAATTATTTTTTCAGGTTATGATACAGTAAAAGTATCAAGCAATTCTGTAGACTAAAGCCAGAAGTTCTTCTATAAGGAAACCAAAATCTTCAAAAGTAAATTTAGATTTCTGTCACTACATATTTAATTTGGATTATCTTAGGTCAAACTGAAAACAAGTGATCACCTATTCAAGAAATATGCGCAGTTTCCTGCTTGAACCTGCCCTAAAGACATGCTTATATAATTACAAGGTGTGATCAAAGAACACAGTGAATGTTTAAAAAATGAAATTTATTACACTAAAACATAAATTGTCATTAACTCCCACCTAACACAGGTACATAGTCCCCCTCTTCCCTGCTTCAAACACACTTATCATTCTTGCCACCTTCTTAAGTAAGTCTAGAAGTCCGCTTTCATGAGTATCTTTTCATGATTGCCTCAATGCTTTGAACTGATTTTCTATGGTATATATTACATGAACAAATAAAAATATTATGATGTCTTCATCAACCTTACCCATAGAACCTACCACTGTATATACAACTTCTGGCTCTTCTTCAAAGTCAAAATGACTATGAATTATAAATGTTTTGAATAAACTCAGGACATCAAGGAAGCCATGAAAAAGAATTATCAAAGACGACTTGCACAAAGTGGTGAGAATGATGGAATGATTGTGGTTAAAGCAAGGGGAAGTATTTTGAGAGGGTTTCATGGCAATGTGTTTTTTATTGTAATAAATTTTTAACATTCATCATAATTTTTATTATGCCTTATAAATTCTAAATTAAGTAACTTGACAACCTTAGGTCTCATCATCAGTAAAATGAAGAAAATTGAACTGGAACCATTTCTTCAAAACAGGATTAGCAAATGCTGTGGTTACATAGCTAGAGCAATATAAAGTTAACAGACAGTACAAAAGTACAAATATGTTTAGGAACTTCTGGGTTAAGTAAATTTTGTTTTTTATTTTTTGCAGGACTTCTCATTACTATACTAATATGTGCACTAAATTTTCAAGGAGAAAGAGTGCATCATCTAACTTTACCCTAATATGGCCATAAAATCTCTCTCCTCAGCTGGATTTAATAATGTGTGCCTGAGATGCTCTCAGGAGCATTCCAACCTCGATCCCAATCTGGGCAGTTTAGTGACTTAGCAAGAGCTTTGTAGCTCAGTATAATGGCCCTGGGTTCAATCCCTAGCACAGCAAAAGCAAAACCACCCCTAAAATCTTTTTATTTCTGGAGCAGTGCTATGCAATAGAAATGTATAGTGAGTCACATACACAATTTTTATATTCTCAAGGAGCCAACATTTGGAAATTCAGTGAAATTAATTTTAATAGTATATTTTATTTAATCCCTGTGCATAAAAACAAAAATTACTGAGGAATCCATATTCCTTTGCGTATTGCCTGAAATCCAGTACATATTTTACATTTATAGTACATCTCAATTGAGACTAGGCTGACTTCAAGTTCTCAGTAGCTAAATGTGGTTAGCAGCTCATATATGGTATAACACAGCTCTGTAGCATCTTGTAGACAAAACACGAAGAAAATTTTTGGGGAAATATTATACTAGGTAAATATACCACCAGATATTCACATAACCACACTTTATAATGTCCTTGGTGAAGCATTACAAATTATCTATCTTATTACTCCTCAGCCCCCAAGTATGTACTGTATTTAATACTATGTGTGACAAAATGGGAAGCACAGAAAAAGAACTTCCAGTGCGTATCACAGAATGACTGCCTTGAGAAAAACCATTTGCATAGTTAAATTCTGAGTTGAAGTCATTTTTTTCCACAGAATGCCATTTTACTTGAACACAAAACTCATCAATTATGATTATTTGGCTGGGTATTTGGCAGATGTTTTGTTAAAAATGAACCAAGTGAACCTGTCATGTCAAGGAAAAGAGCTGGTAAAATTTGTGTCAATGATAAAATTTGAATTTTCAAATAGAAATTAAAATTTTGGAAACCTCCATTATACTGTGAGCATGACAGCTTTCTCATAGATTTTTCTCATCAGTTCAGTATTGATAGTAATAAATATATTTTGATACTGTATGATGAAATGTGTTAACATTTGGAAGACATGCCTATTTTGGTGAACCAATAGTTTCCAAATGATCAATGCATCATGTTACAAAAACATGCATAGGCAGAAAATCTATTCAAAGTGCAAACTAGATCAATGGATTCTAAAGGAACAGAAAATAAACAGTTCTTTGATGTGGTTTCAGAATTCACCTAGCACCTATCCTTTACACAACTACAATTTGTCAAACTTTGGTGTGATATCAAAAAATAATACTCATAATTATCAGAAAAAGATATTAATATACTCTTCTCTCTTCCAATGATGTATCGGTATGAGGCCAGATGTTCCTCATACACTTCAACCACATGACAACAGATTGAATGCAAGCCAGATACGAGAATCAAGCTGACTTCTATTATACCTAACTACAGAGTTTTCAGAAATACAAAGTAATGGCATTCTCACACCTTCAAATTTTTTTTTTTGTTTCAGTCCCTTGAGAAGTAATGGCTTTAAATTAACTAATAAATACTTTTAATTTTTCTAGCTTTAGTTTCTACTATATATATTGACAGATATAATGTGCCAAGTAAAAGTTCTTATGGGAGGTCTCTGACAGTTTTTAGAAGTCTGACTCTTAGGACTGAAAAAGTTGAGCACTAGAGCATAGAAGCATTTCTAATTTGTACATGTAACTTTGCTAATTCTTACAAACCTAGTCATATTATAGTAATATATATCTATGATAGGCTATATGTCTCAGTAAATAACTCAACATTTTTTTTATACAAATGATACTTAGAATGTTAGCTCTCTCTAATTTTTGTCTTGCTTAATTTTAAGCCTATGGTTTCTAAGAGTATCCAAAGGCTCATATGAGAAAATGTTACAAGGAAAAAGTTTCTGTATCTAAAAACTCGTAATTTCTTAAAACATTTGCTGACTATCTCACCACTTATTAAGTGAAGCCATCTACGAATGCAAATGCTGATTAGCAATTTGGCAATAGCCCAACATTCAGAAAATTCACACAGCTTTTCTTTAAACCAGTAGTTCTTACATGATTAATTAACACATCTCATTTATGTAGTGTGCACTTTAG